GGGAGAAGTTGATAAAGGAGAAGTTGATGTAAAAGGTGATAAAGGAGAAGTTGATGTAAAAGGTTATAAAGGAGAGGTTGATGCAAAAGGTGATAAAGGAGAAGTTGATGTAAAAGGTGATAAAGGAGAAGTTGATGCAAAAGGTGATAAAGGAGAAGTTGATAAAGGAGAAGTTGATGCAAAAGGTGATAAAGGAGAAGTTGATGTAAAAGGTGATAAAGGAGAAGTTGATGTAAAAGGTGATAAAGGAGAAGTTGATAAAGGAGAAGTTGATGTAAAAGGTGATATAGGAGAAGTTGGTGCAAAAGGTGATAAAGGAGAAGTTGATGTAAAAGGTGATAAAGGGGAAGTTGGTGCAAAAGGTGATAAAGGAGAAGTTGATGTAAAAGGTGATAAAGGAGAAGTTGATGTAAAAGGTGATAAAGGAGAAGTTGATGCAAAAGGTGATAAAGGAGAAGTTGATGTAAAAGGTGATAAAGGAGAAGTTGATGTAAAAGGTGATAAAGGAGAAGTTGATGTAAAATGTGATAAAGGAGAAGTTGATGTAAAAGGTGATAAAGGAGAAGTTGATAAAGGAGAAGTTGATGCAAAAGGTGATAAAGGAGAAGGTGATAAAGGAGAAGTTGATGCAAAAGGTGATAAAGGAGAAGTTGATGTAAAAGGTGATAAAGGAGAAGTTGATGTAAAAGGTGATAAAGGAGAAAATGATGCAAAAGGTGATAAAGGGGAAGTTGATGCAAAAGGTGATAAAGGAGAAATTGATGTAAAAGGTTATAAAGGAGAAGTTGATGTAAAAGTTGATAAAGGAGAAGTTGACGTAAAAGGTGATAAAGAAGAAATTGATGCAAAAGGTGATAAAGGAGAAGTTGATGCAAAGGGTGATAAAGGAGAAAATGATGTAAAAGGTGATAAAGGAGAAGTTGATGTAAAAGGTGATAAAGGAGAAGTTGACGTAAAAGGTGATTAAGAAGAAGTTGCTGCAAAATTATAATAATAATATTTTATTCGTACACAAAATATGGTACAATTAGAAAGAAAATATACACGTTCAATACAATTTATATACAATTTTAAGATGTGCATGAATATTCTATTATGTCATATTTGGGGATCTAGTTCTGATAGTTATTATGAAATAAAATCTGGGAAATAAGTACTAAGCTTTGTATCACAAACCACTTTATAGCCCGTGTTAGTCTTCTGGTACATGCCAAATAGCCTGATTTAGGACAGTTTTTGTCATTCCATATGCTGGATTTTTAAACTGATCAGAATCCAGAGTAACTAGGAATAATCGTCAAAGTATTTCTCTATATCTTGCAAAAACACAAAATCATACACAGTTTTTAAAATTACTTTTTCTCACCAGTACCATGTCCATGAGAAGTATACGTTGCTAAGGATAAATTAGTCATGTTGAGAATAATAATTTATTGGTTGTCCATTTTTGGAGGGACAAATTTACGAACAATAACGCCGTTTGCAATAGCGTCTCATTAAGCAACCACTTGAATTCTGATAAAGGCACAGATAATTTGAAATATTTAAATTTAGACATAGGATTCGATATACAGACGAGTTCATAAACAGTAAAACTATTGTCTTTGAAATAATGAGATATTTTGGTCTTCTATCGTGTCACTGTCTACATGATAAATAAATAATTGCATTTTAGATTCTGGAGCACCTTTAAAAGTTTTTTGGGGATGATTCCAAATAAACATATATTACATTTCTGCTCATGTCGTTTCATAGTTTTCCTAACATGATTGGGTAGCTCAAAACCACTGCTGCTACAAGCAACGCCCACTTTACTCGGGGAACGTTACCCATTTTAATCCATTAGCCATATATAAAACCGTTAATAATTATAATGTTTATTATTTATTCCCTTTAGTTCCATACACGTATAACAAAGTTAAATAGGATGTTGACAAATAACAAATACTGCCTTGATACCACAATATGTTATACGAAACATATACGAACACATACACGTACACGGTTTAGCTGAAAATACAATAAACGTTCATGAGATATTGCTTAAACATAAACGTAAATATATATCAATGCCTTTGGTTTATAATAAAGCTTACATTGCGACAAATTACGTGCAAATTACAGAGACCATGGTCTACACGCTACGACAAATACGTTACTTCCATGCTTAATACGTTAGGACAACGTTTGACCATACAGTAAATACTACTAATTACGTTATAAATATATATATTTGGGACTAAAACTTACAACTTATGAGGGGATATGGGGCGTTATGTATGCGTTCTATTACATTAAGTAGTGATCATTATGGCGGCGTTATCATTATTCAAGGAAGTTGCACGTTCGTTTAGTCCTCATCGTTAAACCAATTAGGGTTACTAATATAGACTAGTGTTCTCAGGCCAAATGTAAATGGACATACTGACAGACAGCGTGTTGAATCCTTATATCCACGAAAATAGGTTACACCACTGTAAACACTCATTGCGTAGGAATGAATATCAATTAACAAAAGCCCGTGCCGTCGACAGTTTCAAAACTTACTGATCGATGTGGAAAATCAACCTACGCTTTCTCTGTTCTTCTATATATACATTAACACAAAGTCGTATTCACAGATCAAGATTAACAATAATATAATGTTTAGTGTTAAAATGATGTTGGTAGTGGTCATGTTCTGGACTGGATCTTTAATAATGGCCAATCCTCTACGACAAACTAATAATATGCGAAGGTTGTTGGAACAACCCGGTAAGTTAGAACAATAATTTATCTACATTAAACCAAAACTCTTATCAGCACTAGAATGAGAGGGGAGGAGGGGGATGTTAATAATAAATATATATAATATATATAAATAATATAACTTTGTATAATCCAATCAATTTTCATTCTGATTAAATACAGACCAAGAGGTTTAGTGTAATCTTTGTCTGGGTAAAATCATACATTTCGGTTTTTTGAAGAAGTTAGTGTACATGCAGTCAATAAATAATATATTGGCATCTGATTTGACGGCTAAGTTGAAATATTAAAGCCTGTTAAAAATCTGACTTGTTACGTCGAGGTGTGTAAATCTATTTATAAAACTCTGAACAACATGTCCCCTTCCTGCCTAAAACTTCTTTAACTAAAAACAAACCCTGAGTAAAAACGAGTATAAATCAGTATGATTAAACAAAGTATTAAATACAAGGGTCCGATGTTTATGGAATGATCTAGGAGTTAATTGCAAATCGGCATCAGTACAAGAATACTTCCTTGCCATGCCGGTATTCTTTATGTAACCAAGACTGTGTTATTCAACATTTTTAATCATATTACCTACAGTTCGTCTGCATATTTCACAAATTCATTTCCGTATTATAGATAATGTAAATTGATTATGAACAAAATATTAAAAAGATTACATTGTAATAAGAGTTGAGCTCGAAGCCGTATTGCTTTGGTTAATTTTCTATTGCCGTGCGTTTTTGTGCAATTTACCGTGAACGCACAACAAATTATTTTTTTTTAATTTTCATTTCACGTCATTTTGACGTCATTCGCTTGTAAACTTGAAATTGGCAATATGTTAGAATTGTTCAATTAAAAGATTTGAAATAATATATTTGGTCCTGGAAGTATCGGATCAGCCGCCATCTTGAAATGACCAACTTTTCTTTAAACCATTTTTAGGATCAGGAGATAATTCGATTCTCGTGATTTTATTATCTGTACCATCAGTAATCGATTGCTTACAACATCTGAGAGAAGATTGTTTGAATTTAGATTATGCTTTTTAATTATTTCCGGTTGATTTTGTCCAATATTGGTCTTGACCTTTAGTGACCTTTGACATGCATAAAAGTTGACGTGATCTATCCAAATATGTCTCCATTTTTATTG